GCGCTGTCTGCACATTGTAGTGATAGACCTTTACCCTTTGAGTTATATTGTAAGGTCATTATCATTTTCTTCCCTTTTTGTTGATAATTGTTAAAATGCAGTGAAAGTGGTGGTGTTTTGCTCTGCATTGTATGTGTAAGTAAGCAATTAGTGTCAGACATTGAGTTAATCTCACCTGCACTTACACACATTGTGGAGGCCGCTCTTGTTTCTTTTGGAGGCAAAGTGGGCTTCAGCAGCCTCACCTTCCTGCTTCTATTTTCTGCTTCTCCATCTCTCCTTAAATGCCCTGGTACAACTTGACTCCATCTTGATGGTAAAGGGCATTGAAGAACTCCTCATTTTTTGATTTTTTGGGTTTTTTGTTTTGTTTTTTTTTTTAATAAATTAACACAAAGGTCTTTTTAGTACATATTGAAAAATTGATCTAATTGAGCATGAAGTCTGTCAAGGACAGCTGTACTTGGGACATTGTACCAGTGCAGCCAAGAAGGTGGCATGGGCAGGACTGGGGTAAAGCATTAGCCTGTAGGAAGGTAGCAAGGTTCTCCTTTCAGCTGGAGCTGCTGCCAAAAAAGATGTTCAGCCACTTTAATTGGGTACCTACAGCTGTTTCAATAGGATGCATGCAAGCATTGCAGTGCTCTAGTGCTGCAAAAGAGTTGCCTTTTTCAATTGCTTAGAAAAAGGGAGAACTGAATGCAGTCTCTGAGATGTGTTTTTAAGCTCTGTTTATTGTTCTCTGTAATGAATACTGTCAGAGTGAGTTTCGTTTGAATATATGCAAAGATCTGTATCAGAGCCAGTCACACTGTGCTGCTTTGTAGGCAGTGCAGACAAACAGGCATGGCTCATGACCTTTTCAAGTGGAGGTGAGATGAATTCTTCCCCATCCTTTTTCTTAGAGTATACTGTGTCTTGTGGTGACTAGGTCAACCATCAATGTCCAGCATCCAAAATTGCCGTAAATAGATACTGGAAGGGAGTGAGAATATGGGGAAAGAGCATGCATGCCTGCCCTAACACCCTGCTGTTTGTCTTTCCAATTCAGAGACTGACTGAACCAGGTGTTAACTCTGTTTTAGAGGTGATTTATTAACCTTTGGTGGATTCCTCTTCTGTGAATTTGTGCAGTCTTCCTATGTAAATCTCTGCATTCACAGTGTCCTTTGGTAAGCATTCCTTGTTTTGAGAAGCTCCTCATTTTTTATTTGAAGGCTCCTAAAATTAAATGGGGTAACCATTCTCCTTAATAAATGAAATGGTAATAGTTTGGCCGAAGAATCTTGGGCCATATATTTTGTTCCAGGTTACCTTATATAGTAATACATGAGAATGAGTCTTCTGCTCAGAAAAGTATATCTTTCTTCAAGCTAGCTGAAATGTGAGAGCTTGTATGCTCATGGATTCTGCTTAGGAATCCACCAAACGGAATGAAAATGCATCAAACTGGCAGTTTATATAAAATAGCACTTGCTGAGTATAGGAGCTGGGGAGGGAGCAGACATTTGGGTCCTAGGTCATGCCTGGAGCTTAGTACTTCAACATAACATTTGGCCAGTTTCTCAGAAAAGGGAAGCTGGAAAGCCAAGTTTGACTACTGTATCTGCTTAGAAAATTTGCTTTTGCACCTGTGCATGTGGGGAGAGTTGTGCATGCAGAAGGAAAACGAATGCTGCGACAGTTATATTTTTCACAAAGCCTCTGTGCTTGTCCATCTGTTTATGTAAGGATGTACACTGAGTTGTATTTTGGAGACCCCTACTTACTAACTCTTGAAAGAAGTCCCCTTGCACAGTCTACACTGATATTGTTAAGTAACGGAATTACAGAGTCACAGAATGGCTTGGGTTGGAAAGGATCTAGTTCCAACCCATCTGCCATCGGCTGGGACACTTTCTACTAGACCAGGTTGCTCAAAGCGTTATCCAGCCTGGCCTTGAACATTTGCAGGGATGGGGTGTATCTGGCTCATCAGGTAGAGGACCTGTACTTGATTTGTCCCTGTTTATGTCAGTGTAACCCCGCAAAACTAAACAACATGAGAATCTATGCTGATTTTTACCTCATGTCCCAGATTGTTAATATTGCCATTAACTTGAATAGCAATTTTTTTCTTCACTTTCAAAAGCATTCTTATATATATGTTTAGCAATTCTGTACCTTATATAGTTTAAATGAGAAACTGCTTTTAGTAAAGGAATTGCTTTAGACAGGTTACAGCATCCTGTGGTTTTGCAGGGTGCTTCATTCCTTTCGAGCCATGCAATTCTGTAGATGTTTGCTTGTTCAGGCTTTCATATGAGATTTTCCATCAGTTCTTACCAAATGCTGATTATTCACAGGAGTCAGTACGGTGATGTTTATGTAGTTGCTGATATTTTTCTATGTGAGGTATTACTTTTATCTATTTTAGCATTTTTGATATATCCAGGGAAATTATAAAAATAAGGTCTTAATTGTACTTTGATATTTCCATTGGAAAACTAGTGAAAACTCCCTTCTATATTTGATCCTGAACAATAGAACTAATTGTATGCCAGAGAAGTGTCATTACTTTGCTAATGCATGAACACTACGAAGTTTCATTTTAGGCACAGTGGTGAAAGTTCCAGAACTGAGGATATTTTACATTGGTTCATTATATAGAGATATTGGTCTAGAGTTTCTTGGCTTCTTTGTACATCTTGAAAACACATACTGTTTGAAAGAGGAGTTTGAAATCTGCTTTGCCATAAATACTAATTATATTCTTCACGTGGGCTCTTGATTTTGTAGTCGCGGTAGCCGTTGCTTTGTGCTTAGTGGGCCAGTGCACAGTGGTTATTGTAGAGGGTAATGAATGATGTTTATTTGTGCTGTGAGGTTGACCACATCTGGGGTGAGAACATGCTGGCAGCTAATTGGCCTGGCAGATGATCAGGCTGCTACAAAACAGGATCTTGTGTTAGGCAGAAAAATAAAATCACAAGGAACTGTCAGCGCTTGCTCCTTACCGATGGTTTCTAGTGGAAATGACAACCAGTAACTGTGAATATGATATTGAGATCTACTCTATTGCACAAATATCTTTCAGGGAATGCCTCAAATCAATTTGCAGTTTTTAACTCCTTGTAAATAAATCTCATTCCCAACTAATTACTAGTTTATAGAGTGGTGTTCATCTGCATGTGCTCTCGTTTTTGTCCTGGAACACCTGTGTGCCTGACTGCTGAACTGATCATGCTAGTGGATGTAAAGGACAAATAACACTGCCAGGAAGTCTGTGTTGTGTTGCTTGGCATCAAGCAGTTTCCTGGAAGTGGTGCTGATGCTGCTCCTAGGTAAGGTCTCAGACCTTGAGGTTTCTTTAAGCTTGAAGGAACTAGAATCATCTAAAATGAGGAAGTTGCAGTTATTCTTTGATGAGAGGACATCAAAGATCACAATTTGAATCTTTATATCTTACTAATGTGTAGTTTAGCTCCTTCCCACAGAGACTGAGCCTTGCAGATACTTCCCTGGCAAACTGCTTTGTGCCAGTGCTGGGATCAAGTAGCTGCCTTCACTCTGAGCTTAGCAGCACTAGTGGGAAGAACAGGAAAGGCTGCTTCGTAAAACTCCTGGAGTAGCTTTGAGTGGGTCAAAGCAAAAGGGAAAGGTGGAAGGAGCATATTTTGAACTGATTACTCCAAAATGTTGCAAGGATGTGATTGACAGACTGCCGACGAGATTCACTTCCTTGATTTACCGTGCCACTTGGTGCTGTTGTTAGCAAGAGGGAATAGTTCATATGTCCTGCTAAATCATTTTGGTGGCAGTGAGGTTTTAAAATAGAGAGGGCCTGAATGCTATTTGGGTATCTGTGTTTAAAATGACTGTATCAACAGGTCCAAATAACATGGCAGATTTGCGGTATTAACTAAGCGTGTGTCATTGATTTCTAAGTTAGGTAGAGCTCTGTTCCTAGTTCCCTCCCTGTGTCACTGTTAAAGTTTATTTTGTCCTGACAGATGTTACAATCATAAATAACTATGTGATATTATAGTTGTTTTTTCATCTGTACAAACTTTGCTTGTACCTCTTTGGGTTCTCTGAAAATTTACATTTTTAAAATTTTGCCTTTTCCTTCTAATTAAACTTACTTCATTTAATTTCTGAAAAGCATGTGGATATTGTTTATTTTGCCTTTTGAATACATGTTACAAAATAAGCAAACCAAAGGGTGGTTGTATTCAAATTTTACTGGATGAGCTAAGAAAATGTAAATTAAATAAGCCTTTAGCTTTTTTTGCCTGCTCTGAGCTCTTTCTGATGTTACTGAGCAGACCAGATTTCTTGCAAGTTTAATTGTAAACAGTATGTAGGAAAAGAGGTGCCCTGTTCTATTATTTGGTTAATCCTCAAAAACAAAACCAAAAAACAAAACCCAAAGAGTGGAGAGTAAAAAGAAGCAACAGACTTCATACTTATGTGATCAGGAATCGATACTGTAAAAAGAAGAGAGAAAATATGGTAACGTAAACCTGGCTATGGAATTAGAGTTGTTCTTAGCACTTGATGGTTAAGTGTCTTTTACTGCTCTGTCTCTGAACTCCCATAACTGATAATTTAACTGCTAATTCAATTGTGTGATAATGGATTGCCGTGAACAATTCCTTGAAGAGCACTGCAAATTTAATGTGTTTCTCTATTAACTGTAGTGAGTTTTACTTCCTCTGTTACTTTGTGTGTTTGCACCCAGTGATGTATGTGATGAATATACACCAAAATGGTGTATACATAGAAAATAGCAAACAAGACGCTTGCTAGAAAACTTTTGGAGCACACTTAAATATAGGAGGCTGTGCTGATCCTTTATTTTGCTGCTGAACTGTGACCATTATTTTCCGTTTACTGTAAGTAAAAAATGTCTCATAAACAGATTAACATGAGATGATTTTTCTCTCTCTGACAGCACTGTTTTCTTCATAATGGAACATCTTGTTTTTTTCCCCCCTCCTCCCTCATATCTGTAACAGCTAGCCGATGGCGGAACCTCTTCTCTACACCTGTCTCCTTGGCTTTTCCCTATAGTCCCGTTGCAAGACTCACCCCATATACCAATGGCTTTAACAGTCCCAGCTTCTCTAAAACCTCCAGTAAAGCAATACTAACACCTGAACGAACAGGTAATGCTTATCTTTTTATTGATTTATAGTGCTTACAAAATTGCTTGATTTAATCTAATCTTCCTGGCATGTAACAGCAATGAACTGTTTCGATTATTGTATATAGACTCTCACCTCAGAGGGAGGTGTTTTTAAAAAACCCTAAAATGTGACAATTAACTAGTAGTGTAGGTTATCCTCTGTGTTACGCAGCATGTCATAGGAATGTGGTGCTACTAAACAGAGCCTATTTCTCAGTGATGATCTATCTGACAGTATAGTTGTGACTGTGTCAGGTTAAACAGTCTCCAGCTTTGCCTGCCCTTTACTGCTCATTTCTGCCCCACTGTGCCCCTTCCTTCTGTCTACAGAAACATTTGTACAGCTGTGTAATGAAGTAGCAGGGAGCATTTCCCTACAATAAAAACAGGCAACAGAATCATGGCTGTTTTCAAACTGGTATCGTTTAAGTAATAAATCCAAGATTATTTTATGTTCACCACTGATTTCCAGGGGACATAGGCATGTAGGAAAAATGTAAACTTTCTGTGGACTGTAAATTGCAAAGAGTTGCATTTTTTTCCTTCTTTACAAATATCAGGAGTCAGTTTGTATCTGTGACTAAACTGCAGGGGCAGCGGGGAAAATAATTTTGGCAAGAGGCATTAAAATTTTATTGCTGCAAGGAGCAGGCATGGTCTAAGGAAGTCAGCTTCAATGTCGCACTGATCTGTGCCCACTGTTCTTTTCAATGTGTGAAATCAGTGCAGAAAGACCTGTTTTAAGGGATATGGGCACTGTGGGTGAGATACAGCTCCAGACTGAATGCCTGGTGTAAGTGTATGTATGAGTAAGATGTCTGAACTCCCCTATTCAATGGGATGTAGTTTAGTACCTAAATGAAGGTGTCTCATGCTATTTGAGATACCCTCAGGTACCTTGTCTGGCTTCCCACTGCTGCACCAAATAGGCACAGCTGTTACTACCTCTGCAAAGCGTGGAGGACCATTGTAACTTGCAAATTTAAGAAAAGCAAACACGTTTACTCCTTATAGTCCTTCCAAAGCAAAGTAATCCTCAGCACCTTCATTTCTTTTGCATATACTATTAGAGAACAGCCGAATGTAGGATGAATTTTAGGTGGCTGCTTTCAGCAGTGCTAGAGGATGCAAGCACATCTGTGTTATGAGCACAGCTGATGAGCCATAGCCACAGTGGTTCTTGCCTTGCAGGCAGCTGTGCCCCTTTGGTGGTCCAGAGGTTATTAGAAAGCAACTTACTGTTTTATTGGAAGAAGTTGTCTTTAAAGTTGGACAACAACTAGCTCATGCAACTAGCAAGTAGAATCCAGACCCCTCTCTGAAAGGTAGCTCTCTGGAGGAGGCGGTGCTTTCTCTGATGCTGCATAATGTTTAATTTTAATTGTTGACATTGATTTATCTGATGATTTTAATGAATTAAAAAGCAGAACCAAAAAACAAGCAAACAACCCAGCCTGCAAAACTTAGTTAAATGACTGTGAAATGGAATCTGAATACTGAGTATGACACACACTTGATTTTGAGAACAAAGCAGGGAAAACCAGAGTCCCGTAAGAAATATTCAAATGCAGATGTGTTTAGACTACGCTAAGTAATCTGGGATCAGTCAGAACTGTACTGGGTAAATTATTAATTGCTGGGCTATGTAGTGGTATTTTGGAAAAAAGCAGAGGAATTCATGATCCATTACTACACTTACTATGTCTCACAAGAATCAAAACACTTTTGCTAACTTAGTGGATTGCACTACACTTCTGAAAGTTTTTTATCTGCTATGCAGAAAATATTTTAAGGTACTGTAACATAAAGGGCAGATAGCAGCGAATGAAAGATGGACAGATGCAGTCACAAACTAAAGGATGTGCTTTCTTACATAGGTTACCTTTCTAGGAGTTCGCCTTTGAGCCCACAGTCGTCAATAGACAGTGAGCTGAGCACCTCAGAGCTGGAGGATGATTCCATCTCCATGGGATACAAGCTGCAGGACCTCACCGATGTTCAGATCATGGCTCGTCTACAGGAGGAGAGTAGGTGCCTTTTGTTAATTTTCCAAAACAGTTTAAAGATTTCCCATAACAGTCAAAACTGCTTAAGTCTGGTCTCAGTCAGGTGGATCTTTCTTAAATGGTTTTACCTCTGGAGTGGCAGGTGGAAAAACTCTTCACCTGCATAGACAAGGTATGCACATTGTTGGGTTCAGGTTAATAGTACTGGATCTTCCAACACTTGATGCTTATGTGCTTATGTTTTATGGAATCCCAAGTGGTGTAGCTCCATATCTGTTGAGTACATTTAGATTTAAAAGATTTACAATGTCTTACCACATTAATTAAAATAATTTTATTTCTGGGAAGGGAAGATGCTAAAACATTTTTCTCACACGTTTTATGAGAAAGGTAATAATAAACAGCTCTCGTGGATTTCTTTTCCTCTACTTTGCTTTTCATGTCAGATGAATTTTTAAATTTATTCCCTTTTAAATCCTGAATTGGGGCATTTAAATTTAGCATTTCAGTTTAAGACTAGTTACTATGCACAAAACTGAGCCCAGAAGCTTGTTTGACATAGATTTTAGTTTGGCTTGACAGTAATTTTTGGAAAATGTCTTTATTCATAAATAAAGGGCATTTGACTTAGAAGTCACTCAGACAGTAAGTGCAGTATCTTTCTCACTTCCTATGAATGCTGAGTAAGACATCAAGGAGGACATGATGAGGTGAAAAAAAAGAGAAATTCAGAGATGACTGAAGGAAAATGCGAAGTAATAAGTGATTAAATAGAATAAAAGTAAAATGTGAATTAAAAAGTAGAGCTGTGGTCTAGCTGCAGCAAAACAGACTGAACAAGTTGGAGTGATCACTTGTGAGCACTTGAACTTGCTGAGCATCTGGTGGCACTCATTATGTTCAGCAGAGAAATTAGCAAGTGTGAGGCTTTCCAAGATAGCTGAATTCTCTCTTAGCTGGCAAATGTGTGTGGTTACAGCTGGGAAAATTTATGATATTATGTTGAAGTTGTAATAATTTAAAAAAAGTAAAATGGTGACTGTCAAAAATACAAAGGACTGCATGGGTTAAATGCCAGCTGCGCTCATCTCCTTCAGAGTGAAGTGTAAAAAAGACTTCTCTTTGAGGAATCAGGTCATTGGTAAACTGGAAGGAAATACAATGTGTTCTTCCCGTCTCTGTCAAGTGTAATGGTTGTATCTCATCCTTGTAGCAGCTAGTATGGAGTGTTTGAGCACATGACAGTTGTTGTCCACTTAATCCTGTGGAAAGTGGTAGTACTATACATGTACACAGGCACACTCTCCTCAATGCCATGGATAGAAACTCCCATGGGAGGAAGCATATTAAGAAGTTTCCATTATGAGGCAAAGACATCTGTCAAAGATGAGGGCTTTTTGTAAATCTAGCGAGGCTGTTATCTGCAGCTGTTGCCAGAGATACTCAGCTCCTGGAAATGTGATGTGCATCCCCTTTTTCTCTGGCTGCTGTGGGGGTTGTACAAGGGATGTGGATGTTTCCCTCTTGCTTCACCTGGAGCTGACATGCTTTTCTAGGGCAGTGCTAATAGTGGGATGGTTTTCAAAACCTGGTGTTCTGAGAAGGAGAGGTGGGAGGGGTGGTGGTGCATACCTGTCTAAAAGTCAACCAGGTTACCACGAAGCCTTGTCTTGCTAGCAGGAAATAATTCTGGTTCAGGGAGGCTGGAGAGCCAGAATCCTTACATAGGTTATAAGTTTAGGAAATGTCATTTTCAGGATTTTCACTGCATGAATATAAAAATTTAATAGCAATAACTTGGAAACCTAATAGACTGACTGTTAATACCTCTAATTAAAAACAATACTCATGTAGTCTTTCTGTTGGCAGAGGAGTAAATGCATTCTGAAGGCAATTCCTCTTGCGTTGAGAGAGGCATCTAAGACATCTCAGAGGTATTACATTTTGGAGGTGCCTGTATTCTTTTATTATTTTTTTAAAAAAGGAATCTTGAGGGAAATAATTCAGAATTAGATGCCTGAAAGGTAGACACTGAAAGTTAGATGAGATGAATCGTACCTCAAATCTTCAGCCTGGTGACACAGTAAATCCAATTCTTGATGTAAAATTATGTCTACTCTTCTGCCTAGTTTTCAAGATCGAAGTGCATGTTATGAGTTACTTAGCAGAAGTTGAATTATCCTCTTCTTGGAATTTGCAGGCCTTAGGCAAGATTATGCTTCAACTTCAGCATCTGTGTCAAGGCACAGTTCCAACGTCAGTCTGCATGCAGGAAAGAAAGGGACGTGCGCTGACCAGGAGTATGATCGCTACAGTCTTGAGGACGAGGAAGAGTTTGACCACCTCCCGCCTCCCCAGCCACGGCTGACTCGCTGCTCCCCCTTCCAGAGAGGGATTCCCCACTCACAGACTTTCTCCAGTATCCGGGACTGCAGGAGGAGCCCTACCTCCCCACACTTTCCTTCAAATACTTATCAGCAGCCCTACTACTCTCCTCAAGCCCAAACTCCAGAGCAGCAACCAAATAAGATTAATGGAGGTGGGTTGCATGCTTTTCTGAGAAGTGGTCTTTTCTCTGTGCAAAGTGACAGTGTCATTTCAAAGATAAGTTGTGTCAACAGAGTGAATTGTGTTTGGTGTTTGACAGCTAGATCAGCCCCTGAATTGTGACAAGTAGTTTAAGCCTGTGCAAAAGATTGAGGTATGTTATTAAGTCATTTGCTGCAAAATGTAATCTGTGACCTGATCATAAAAGTTGTTGCTTTAGTCTGTTTTAAAGTGATACAAGGGTGACCACAAGTGAAGAACAAACAAAAAAGAAAGAGCATCCTTTAGCAGGTTAATAGGCAGTTAGAAGAACTGATTGGGCTTTTGAACATGGCCTGTGTATGTCCATTGTGAATATAGTAAAATACAAAATAGGGTTTTCAGATTTTCATTCTCTTTCTTATTGTTGACTTTGCTGTTAATACAGTGAATCCACAATGAGTGCTTACAGCAGGAGCCAACACCATGCTCCTGTTCCAGGTCTGGTAGTAAAAAAGTAGTGGGAGATAATGTCAGTCTCAAACTATCCTGAGCCATTGCTGCTTTTGCACTGCATTTGATACTTATTCCAAAGTCTCTGGACAATTTGTCTCTTGGTGCTTAAGTTTGCTCCGTTGTTGCTGTTACCTTCCTTTCATTCCTTATTGTGATCACTGTTTTCTTCCTTCTGCTCTGTCTTACTTTCCCCAAGCTAATTCAAAACAGTCAGTTTTCTGTCAGGGTATTGTTTGTAACATTACAGGTTACAGCTTATCGTAGGGACAGAAAATAAATCTTTTGTGCAAAAAACCCCACAAAGTTGCTATTTATAGAGCACTACAGGTATCCATGTTGCTTTCCTGACAAATATGTCAGGACAGGTTGGTGCCAAAAGCGCTTGCATTCAAAGTAAGACCCATATAGTTGATAAGTTGCAGTATGTGAATCAGAGAATCATAGAATGGTTTGGGTTGGAAGGGACCTTCAAAGGTCATCTAGTCCAACCCCCCTGCAATGAGCAGGGACATCTTCAACTAAATCAGGTTGCCTAGAACCACATTCAGCCTGGCCCTGAATGTCTCCAGGGATGGTGCATCCACCACCTCCCTGGGCAACCTGTGCCAGTATTCTACCACCCTCATTGTAAAAAAGAAGGATGACGCTAATAGGGTAGAGCAGCATGGAAGTTTGTTGGTACAGCATATGTGCCATATTAATGTTATTTTTCTTGCTGGTGAGGTACAAGAATGGGACAACGCTGATGGGCTTGCAGAAACGTTGGGGAGGTAGAAAGGTTATGGAGCATTTTTGATTCAGGAATAAGGACAGGGTCTGGTGCTATGATCTTTCTGTATGGTCCCCAGACACTTTTTCAATTTTTTTTCGATGTTCCATATCAGTGGACCTTAAGCATTGGATTCTGACATGGAAACATCTCAGAAAGTACTTACAGGGCACTAAAAACACTAGACTACTAGTTTAACTAGAAAGCGTATAAATCTAAAAGGCCACCAATTTTATCACCTGGTTACCTTTTTTCTCAAGAACTTTGATGTGTTAGATAATCTGTTTGGTGTTCTGTCATGGTTTAAAACCAGTCAGGCAGCTTGTTCACTTACTCCCCCTCTTCTTTCCTTCCCTCTACTCCCAGGGGGACGGAGAGGAGAATTGAAAAGAATACAACTCCCATGGTTGAGATAAGAACAGTTTAGTAACTAAGGTATAACACAAATCACTACTGCTACCACCAATAATAGTAATGATAAAGGAAGTAACAAGGGAAGAGAATACAACACCTCACCCCCCGCCGACTGATAACTCTCTCCCCCTGCCCCCAGCCAAGCACCGACCAATACGTAGTCCTACCCCACAGTCCTAGCCCTTCCAGGTAATGCTCTGTTGTATCCTGGGCATGATGTGCTGTGGTATGGAATACCTCTTTGGTCAGTTTGGGTCAGGTGTCCTGTCTCTGCTTCCTCCCGGCTTCCCTCCTCCCTGGCAGAGCATGAGACTCAGAAAAGTCCTTGGCCAGACCAAACATTTTGAGCGTTATCAGCTCAGTTCCCAGGCTGAAAGTCAAAACACAGCACTGCACCAGCTACTAAGAAGGAGGAAAAAAATGACTGCTACTGCTGAACCCAAGACATGTTCCCACAAGATGGATTGTCAGTCCCCAGCGGCTTGCCTTTGTTCAGGAGCTGAAAAGCTCCTGGTAAATGCTGTCATAAAATGGGAGATATGTGCAACTGTAAATATGTTAAGATGTGAAATATGTGAAGATGTGTTTAAGGTGAATTTGGGGCCACTTGTAGCATATGCTGTAGGTGTACCTGTTGTTCCCTCTTAACATTTTTGCAGCATGACCTGTAATATGTAGGTTAGCTCAGCTTTCTAAGAAGTTTTATTTCCAGTTCTAGCAAGAATACACTAAGAAAAGCTTTGCCTCCCCACCCCCGCAGCCTGCCCCACTCCTTATTTAATTACACCCTCTCCCTAAATCAGGCTAAATCAGCTGAATTGTTTGTAACACTGAGTAACCTCAGAAAAATTTCATCTGTGATCATTTTAAGGCATTCTGGTTTTCAGAGATTTTGTAATTGGTTAGTGGGTCAGAAATAGGTCACTTAAGATCCAAGAGATACAGGAGGTAAATAGCTTTTGGGTATCTGTTGCAGTTGGCTAACGAGAGTCCATTTAGTCTGTAGAATCACAGGATAGTTAGGGTTGGAAAGGACCTTAAGATCATCAAGTTCCACCCCCCTGCTGTGGGCATGGGACACCTCACACAAAACCATATCACCCAAGGCTCTGTCCAACCTCGTCTTGAACACTGCCAGGGATCGAGCATTCACAACTTCCCTCGCAACCCATTCCACTGCCTCACCACCCTCATAGTAAAGAACTTCTTCCTTATATCCAATCTAAACTTCCCCTGTTTAAGTTTTAACCCATTACACCTTGTCCTGTCACTGCAGTCCCTAATGAAGAGTCCCTCCCCAGCATCGTTGTAGGCCCCCTTCAGATACCGGAAGGCTGCTATGAGGTCTCCACACAGCCTTCTCTTCTCCAGGCTGAACAGCCTCAACTTTCTCAGGCTGTCTTCATATGGGAGGTGCTCCAGTCCCCTGATCATTCTCGTGGGCCTCCTCTGGACTTGTTCCAACAGTTCCATGTCCTTCTTATGTTGAGGACACCAGAACTGCACACAACACTGCAGGTGAGGTCTCACGAGACCAGAGTAGAGGGGCAGGATCACCTCCTTCGACCTCCTGGTCACACTCCTTTTGATGCAGCCCAGGATACGGTTGGCTTTGTGGACTGCAAGCGCACACTGAAGCTGGCTCATGTTCATTTTCTCATCGACCAGCACCCCCAAGTCCTTCTCCGCAGGGCTGCTCTGAATCTCTTCTCTGCCCAGCCTGTACCTGTGCCTGGCATTGCTCTGACCCAGGTGTAGGACCTTGCACTTGGCATGGTTAAACTTCATGAGGTTGGCATCAGCCCAGTTCACAAGCGTGTCAAGGTCCCTCTGGATGGCATTCCTTCCCTCCAGCGTATCAACCAAACCACACAGCTTGGTGTCATTGGCAAACTTGCTGAGGGCACACTCAATCCCACTGTTCATGTCAGCGACAAAGATGTTGAACAAGACCAGTCCCAACACCGATCCCTGAGGGGCACCACTCGTTACTGATCTCCAGCTGGACATTGAGCCATTGACCACAACTCTTTGTGTGCAGCCATCCAGCCAGTTCCCTATCCACCAAGTGGTCCACCTATCAAATTGATGTCTCCCCAATTTAGAGACAAGGATGTCCTGTGGGACAGTGTTGAACGCTTCACACAAGTCCAGGTAGATGACATCAACTGCTCTACCGCTGTCCATCAGTTCTGTAGCCCCATCATAGAAGGCCAGCAAATTGGTCAGGCAGGATTTCCCCTTAGTGAAGCCATGCTGGCTGTCACCAAGCACCTTGTTGTTTTTCATGTGCCTTAGCATGCCTTCCAGGAGAATCTGCTCCAAGATTTTGCCAGGCACAGAGGTGAGACTGACTGGTTTGTAATTCCCTGGATCATCCACTTTCCCCTTCTTGAAAATGGAGGGGGTTATATTTCCCTTTTTCCATTCGTCGGGAACTTCACCTGGCTGCCATGATCTTTCAAGTGTGATGGACAGTGACTTAGTAACTTCTTTCGCCATTTCCTTCAAGACCCGCAGATGGACTTCATCAGGTCCCATGGACTTGTGCATGTTCAGGTTCTTAGTGTGTTTTATAATTTTACAAATCTTTCAGTATTTTGGCAATGGAAAGATTTACATTTATACCTCTCTGCCCTTCCTCCGATTTGAAAAAGTTCATGGTTAACAACTTAAAATGTTGCTAACTCTATTAATAATCAAGAATACTTATATTTAGTCATTTTCATATAAGAAATACCACCAAATGTTATAAAACCAATCTGTTTCTTGCTTTATGTTCTCCAAAAATGTACACTTCTTATTTTTTACTGTGACACAGAAGTGATCTCATTCATTTAAACTTTTTTTAAAGCATTTTTTATTTCTGTTTGTTCACTTTACTGTTTTTGAGTAGATATTTATGCCCTTTATTTCTTCTGATTTTCTGAAACCAGAAGTAACAGAACTACCATGCTGTGAAATCATCCATAGAGTCAAAATGCAGGGTAGACAGGATACTGAAAATGGGATTGATCTTCTTGTATTCAGACCCACTTACCAGATCTTGAGATAAGCTTCCTCATAAACTTTATCCTAGGTACCCTTTATTTCATGTGCAATTTAAGGTGTCCATTTTAATAATACCTGAATATTCGAAAATACGTATTTTGGATAAACTATTTCAGCTAAAGCAGGAGTTTATGATAATGCGGTAAGAAGGGGCAGGTGAAAAATACATCCTTTGCTGAGTAGCAGTGCATGCTATTTGGTTAATTTGAATGTATATTTGACATTATCTTTTCATGTTGATTTTAAAGTTTTTAGCTTGGTTG